AACCCGACTTAATCTCACTGCACTCTAAAACGACTACAAAACTTTTTGAGAGACATTGAGTCATCTTCTAGCCCTCGTTCCTGATATGAATCAGACCATTTTGCACAGTGTGGACTGAATTTTATTCTTTTAGTCACTAAACGTCTCGAACAGCTACTGGGCTCCCTTTTGCTCAAAAACATGTTTCTGTAAAAAGATTCGACAAACTTCAGGATCCGTATCTTCTTCAATCACAAAAAATAGTTTAAAATGTGAGTGTTGTATTTACTTTTACTTACAGACAGTAAGTAGAGAAATCAAATCCTTGAAACGTCTACTCATTTGGCCTGCACTGCTCTGCTCAGATATAGCAACTACAGCGTTCTTTAACCAAAGATTTTGTACAGTCAGATTTAACTATGACCACACGTCTGACCCTGAATGGTATAAAACGAGTTGGGATTACATGATCTCATCACATACCAAACTCATTCAGAGCGTTGTGTCTTACGAAATTGATAGAAAACACTAAACCAGATACGCTGTGATGTGTGAGAGTGCGGCCATATCACCCCCCCCCCCCACCAGTCTCTGTGTACAACCCACACTCCTCTTAAAAAATATATTTCCAGGAAGTATTAACCAATATCTAGAGTTTACGACAATCAGCAGTTCTGACCAATTCAGAGTGTTCAGTAGTCTCTACATCAGTTTACTGCTACCTGAGACAGCAGCAGTCCTCGTGACACTCGTTTAACACTGGCATTACCCCCACCTACAAGCTCGAATTGGCCAATCAACATTGCAAAAATAAAAATGATCAGAGATAAACAGGCCAAACTGAAGCCCCCCCCCAAACCGACCCAATCCAAGGATAAGCCCAACGTACCATCACTAAAACGGACGGTAACTGCAGATCCCAGAAGGACCGGCTTCCACGGACGGAACAATATTATAGAACATTCTCATTTTAAAAACCTTCTCACAACAGTTTAAAACCAGTACCTAATACAACACTCATCTGCAATTGTTATATTTCGAAGCTATTACTGTCGAGTCTCTTCATTGCTTAAGTAGAATTACAGTAAAACCATCTGAAACAAGGTGCTTTTCATTCTTCAGGCCCACACATATATTCTTGTCTGTTTAAACCCTTCTTCTGATCTCTAGATTCTATGAGATCGCCCCAGTGCTACGCCAGTTCAGTCATTACTGTGGACCCCGGATCCATAACCCCCTTTTACTGTTAATCCCAGCAGGCGATCTAGAAGGCATTTCCACAACATCATTTATTTCATGCACTTATGACATAGGCCAGTATTTCAAACTAGCTAGTTTCTGAGATGTGATCCGGCCAGGATTAATTATTATTTATATCCTTGATCTCAAATTTTTTAAAATTTATCTATCAACTACATGCCCCAAAAAAGAGTACTACAAAATAGATGGCTTCAGAAATAATTCATACCCCTTCAACTTATTGTTATATCTTTGTGTTTGTAGATTTTAATGACAAATGCTAAATCCCCAAACTTCACCAAAATATTGAAGACATCAGAAAAGTGAACTCTCATTAACACGACGGTATTCAGGATGCACCCACCTCTGAAATCACTTCTGAAGCCACTGTAAATCACCAGCCACCATTATTGGCTTTGCATATTAACATACCACACATATATAAGTATTCATATTTATATCTGTATTCCCAGGATCGATAATATATGAAGTGTGAGCCCCTTCGCAGACATCGACTAGGACCACGCAGGACTCAAACCGAAATGATGGACAGGTCTCGGCGCACGGATGATTCCGCTTTGTGTCACCAGTTGCGGGGCCCACCATTACGTTGTGGCATCACACCTAGCAACCATCACAACATTTAGCTTTTTTCCACAAAAAACTGGACACCACGGCCCCTTGGTTTTTAACAGTTGTAACATTTAGCTGTTCAAACTAAGCTGAAAACCCAGTGCTTAACATTCAAAGAGATGCATAATCATCGCGGGAACTACCGCCAACATATCCTCCCACTCTATGATTATGTCTAGGCAGCTGGGCCCACATTCTCAAATCAGTATCAAGTATTTGATTATTTAGTTAGTTCATGCATTACATTATCGTGTCTGTCACGTGTGAGTGTCTATGAGGCATTTTTCCACCTTAATTGTGAGTGTGGTAAAAAATTTAATAACATTATTAACTGAGTAATCATAAAATATGGATAAGTTGCAGCCTTACAGATAACACTGAAACCTCCCTAACCATACTCCGGCGGATCTAGGATGACGTCATGTCATGATACTCTGTTGTCTGTTTGTATAATGTACTGCAGGTGCGCGCGAGAAACCTGGTGATTAACACGCTCTGAACTCGTTACAGCCTCCTCGTGTTGTTAAGATCCATATGTGACGGCGAAGAACCCAAAATATAATAAACATCGGTAAAAATAAAATTTCCCATGAACAAACATGCTGAGAAATCTACAACCAACACCCTGCATTTATTCAGAGAATTACCTGTTGATACAAGCACCCAAATTCGTGAAAAGTAGTACCATGAACATCAAGTGAAGAAAGCGCCGAGACCAAATACAATCAACTATTACCAGTGGCACCTATTTTCATCTAAGATGATGCAGAAAGCCCCATATTGGACGCGCCATGTCTAAAAGCCAACCACCCTGCACTTTGTGTAAACTGTGGACAAATGAGCAATGACAGACTCTCATGATCCTCAAGGATACACTTGGGCTTTTGAGTAATGTACAAAAATTCAGAAAACAAAACCACTCTACCAAGGATCCAGACCTAACAACATTGTCTTATAAGTTGGCAAGAGAAACTATAATAAACACCACTAGGTTTCGAAAGCTGTCTGTGTGCTGCAAGTGTATTAATTATTTTCCAGACTGATAAACACACATGCTCTTGAGTCGTATGGAGTAAAAGAACAATAGACTTATGTGTTTGTCCAAGTTGAAGCTTATTATGAAAAAGATGACATAATTTCATAGTTAGACAAGAGATGACCCCGCGTCCAGACCATATAAAACATAACTCAGGACCACATAAGTGCTTTAAACTGTAGAGAAAGTTGCCATGAGTGTGTAAGTGCACGAAGAGACGCGCCAGGGACCAGTCCACTCTCCTAATAATATATATCCAGCACGGAACGACCAGGTTCTACACTCACCTCAAAATTATTATGTTCAGTGATTCCACAGTGAACGCTGAAGGAGAGAAACAACTGGCAAGGAGGTCCCAATAAGATATAAGAGCCATCCAGTTGAGCTTCAAGGCTCTCCAATAAGTTATTTTACTTTACTTTACTACTCAATACATCAATTAGCCATCTTTGTACCATGTTTGGAAGCAAATGTTCTGTTGTCATCAAGGATGGCTTGGCACGTTGGCCTCTCTATCAGGGCACGAGCGGTGACATGTCATCCACGTACCTATTCTTTTTAGCAAAGCCCTTATTGGGAAATCACCATTTACCTTACATCCTCCTCTTGATCAGATCAGTTCGATACACACCAAACATGGGTCACCATGGACTAATTAAACTAATTTAGAGTAAAAGATTAAAGTCTTAATCTGGATTTTAATGGCTAATTAGACATGTTGGATCTAATGCTCCAGACACAATGAATCAACTACAAGAGCACTTAATAGACAGACAGCTTTATAAATTATTCATATTTTAGGAAACAATATTCTTTAAACCATTTCCCAAAACAGGAATGCGAATAGCGGTTATGTGTGTGAATACTTGCATTTCTAGTTTGTTTTACACACTTTCCTTGTGTGATTATTTTATTACAGTTTTATAATGTTATTGTTGTTTATTTGTTTATTCGAAAATATGAAATTTTTTTGGACCCATCTGAATGAATTGTTTTTATAATGTTATTTATGTACATTCTGCTCTCTCTGAAAAATGAGATTTCTAACTCAATGAAGATTAACGAATAAATAAGGGTGAATATAAATTATATGGCCTGTGCCTCAATCACACACAAAACACTTTCACATTCACTCAACTCAAGGAGAAAATTGCATTACATAACTATACTTATAAGAGCACGAGAAAAATCAAAACATAAAGTGGGCTTAACAGCAGCAGATAATGCACATAACAGATATGCACGTATGGAAAACAGTTAGATTATGAGATGTCAATAATTGTTGATGCTACTCAGCAACCAACATTATCTTATGAGGGCCAGTAAAATACAAAATGAAGTAAAAAACATTTCACTACAAAGTATTAAATTTCTTATCAAGGTGTGAGAGCCCTCAAAACATTAACACAATTCACCAACTACTATTTTTAATTTCTTTCATTTCAATTGAACAACTAATCGTTTTATCAACTTATCGTTGCATTGATGATATTGATGAAAATGTGTTTGTGTTTGTGTGTAGGGGACCCGTGTACCATCTCGTCTCAGATGGAGCTGGAGGAAGCATTTCGTATTTACAATCGGACCAAGAAGTCTGGACTGCCGCTACATGGTGAGATGGCTCTTCAATTTATAATTTATCAACAGAAGAATCACAATGGAAATCTTAAGGGGACTTGAACACCACAGTACCTTAGTAAACACTTTAACAATTAAGGAAAGACAAGTCACTCCACAAAATTTATTTAACCGTTTATTTTGGCTTTTGACTGGAGATAACTTGACTTTATGTTGAGGATATTAAGTTAAAGAGTTTGTGCGACTTTGTATTCATGTATAATTCAAGGTGTTCATCATCTGGACTGCATATCTGGACAAAGCTGTATACTAGTCACGGACATCAACATTTTGTGTTCTTGCATTTTAGAACTTTTTTATGTCAGTTAATTTCTGTTGTTCAATTTTATTCTTGTGACACAACATTTTCATAAGACCCTTAAGGTTTTCATTTTCACAGTCCGTGCATTTTTCTCTCACGCCTCTGCTTGGTGACAGGTGAAGAAAAACAACAGATTGTAATGGTCAGTTTCCTTTTACTGTCTGTCTTTTGCAGTCTTCCCCAGTATCCCAGAGCGGCCTGGTCTGCCCTGCCCTGGAGAAGACAGTGAGTAAATCAGCTCTGCTTTCACTCTTCATCCCTCTCTAGGTCTCCCAATTACAGTGAGACCCCTAGTTTTATGTGCTCATGGATACACAAGATCCTATTAAACCAGGTTAAGCACCTGTGTAGAAACCTGGTGTAAGGACTAAATTGAGGTGGTGTAAGAGCCCTTTGGATCTCTTTGGAAAGATGTTAGACTCTAGTTAGCTCTAGAAGGCTCAACAAGTACCAGCCCTCAGTCAGTGATGATTAAAGATTAATATCCTCTTTTTACTCTTTTTAAAACCTAGACATCTGCACATTTTTTCTAAGATTTGTGACCATTACATCACATTTTGTTCAATACAAAAATATGAGCAGAATGACTAATATTCTAAGGGCACTATTAAACTGCAGCTACAAAGTGTATTGAGATGCAAAAATATCACAAATAATTGACAAAATGAGAAAGTTTCAATAAACTACAAAATGCTAAAATTGCACTTAATTTAAAACTCGTTAATGGATCATAGTCAAGGATTTCATCTCTATCACTCACTTATAATCATGTTTAATTAAAACTCATATAAACTAAATGTTTGAAAGTTTCATCAAAAGCTGTGGGGCATCCTGGTGGCATATACGTATTCATACAGATCAGTTATTGATTCTTTGTATAATTATTTTCTATCATATTTTCATCTATTAAAAAAATCCAAAATAAACATTGATTATATTCCTGGATTTTTTTCCTGGAAATTAAACGGCTTCTTTAATTACATGACATGAATTACCCACTCATTCAAATGGCTTGGTAGAGGAAAGGATGTGTGGTCATTAAAATTGATGGGTTTGAGCTCTAGGGAGCATGACTGTGCTCACCCAATTAAATGCTGTCCTTCTATTAGAGTATACAATATGTTGTGTGCAAATTGGACAGTTTGCAAAGGAATCGCTGCAGTAAGTGGATTCACTGATGGAGTCTTCAACCTTGGTGAACTTAGACATACAAATTCAGTCCGCTGACCAATTGCAAACCATCTTGACAGTGCTGACCTTTGAGATACTGAAGAGCCAAAAAGTCCAAAAATAGAGGAATCATATTAGCTGTGATGGACCATCCAGTTTTATATAGCGCTGCTCTGTCCGCGTATCAAAAGTTCCACAGAAATGCTGCTGTTGAATAAAGTGTATGAACGTTTTGCAAGTCAGTAGTCACAATGCTTCCAAATCCCAGCACAACCCATTTCACATCCTCTGGGAGAATGACTAAGAAATATTCAAATCTAATGGACAGATTGAAACCATCCATGAGCGTCAAATATTTCATGTGTAAAAAGGGAAACTTTGGACTCTGGACTAGTTGGAAAACAGAAGAGATAAGATGTCACCAAACCTTAAGGTTCATCCTCTGTGAACCATGAATATCTACATCAAATTTCATGCTAGTTTGGCCTGTAGTGGTCAAACTGTCCTTAATTGATTGACATCTCCATCGTTAGCCACCCCCACTGACACATCTGAGTCATCAGGGTGTTAAATGCAGGGTCCTTATCTGAGATCTTTCAGCATTCTTTGTGACATCCATGCATGGTGTATTCTACCTAAAGAAGCCTAAAGATTGTTCTTGAACTGTAATATAAGTTGAGCCATTGCTGTGTTAACGTTACCGGTTACTAGTTACTGCTGCTCTCTCTCTCCTGTACTCCCATGTTGTTTGCTGCACTCCCTGACTGTCAATTTGCTGTGACAGCATGTTTCAGCAGCTTGTGGACTGCAGTGTGTGTGTGTGTGTGTGTGTGTGTGTGTGTGTGTGTGTGTGTGTGTGTGTGTGTGTGTGTGTGTGTGTGTGTGTGTGTGTGTGTGTGTGTGTGTTTGATGGGAGGGCAGCCCTGTGCTTTTGCCCTGAGGCAGACCACTGGTTTACTGTGCGAAGAGCAGAGTGTGACTGTCATACTGTAGGTAGGTAATAAAGGATACACACAGTCTCTCACACACACACACACACACACACACAGACACACTGGGTTAGTGTGTCTGTGTGTGCTTTGCTTTTTGTGCCCTGGAATAATATGCAATATTCTACATGTGACAATAATAATTGTGGCTTCCTGCTGTGTTTTCTCCCATTTAAACCTCATTTGCTTGCTGTTGATGTACATGAGTGGAAAGAGGAGGGAGGATAGAGCTGTTGTTTTCAGAGAGGAAGAGGAGGAGGGAGTAAAGAAGGAGGATGAGTAGAGGAGGAAGGCTTTCTCATTCATTTCTAGTGTTTGTTGAGGAACTGTGTGGGACTGGTTAGGTTCCAAAAAAGTGAGCAGAATAATAATGATAAACATTTTAGGCCGAGAAGAACACAAATATTTAATATATAACAGTGAGACTGTGTGATGTCATACTTTAGTGCAAAATTTAAAAATCAAAAGTAGAAGCCCAAGATGTATTCAGTTATAAGATTATTGTGTACAGTATGTGTTTAGTTTTCTTTACAGTAATACATCCCGTCATATTTGTGTCCTGCAGAGTTTAGCCTGTAATTTATCCTCTGACTTGTTGAGCTCTTATTGTACTGTCACATTGCTGTCAGCTCTGATTTGAGAAGGGATATGAGGTAGGTTACTACTCATCTTGCTGTTCCATCCTCCCATACTGTAAATCCTTTTGATATCTTATTCAGTATGCAATGGGTACAGATATACGTTGTATTTAAAAACAGGTAGAGTAACTGATGTATAGAAAATAACTGGGCATAGACTAACCAATGAAAATGAATATAGAGACAACAATACTCATAATAACACCATAATGTAGCTATAAGCAGATATAAAGACATTTTTAAGTGTTTAATTTACAGTAATTGCGAACTTCTCCAGTGGAAACATTTTATAATATTACAACTGTGTTTGACTATATTGTTATGTTTATACAGCAGCCTCCAGTTATGAGTGTCCACGGGAGAGTAAGAGTTGTCAAATAAGTACATTAATAAACACTTATATCTGTTTATATCGGATTATTCGCAAATTATATCATCTGGGGGTAATCAATTAAAGTTCACGCTGTTCACAAAAGCTAGAAAGGCGGCACTGGCATTAAAATAGAAACGCTTTGTTAAAATATTATAATTCTCAATAATGTATGGGTTACTCGTCCGGGTCTGGATAGGATGGCGCCTGGGTGCGGATCCGGACAATGGTGCGCCTATTCATGACCTCTGGTCTACAGCCACACGGGCAGCTCTGTGTTTGTTTTTGATTGTAGCAGTCGTGGTGAACTCAGTGTAACAAGATGAAGGGGTTTGTAACAAAACTCTGTGAAGCTGTGCAGCAGGACTTTGAACTAAATGCTAAAATCAGCATGCTAGCATGCTCACACTGATAATGTTATAAGTCAAATGTTCAGCAGGTATAATCTTTACTATGTTCACCATCTTCGTTTATCATGTTAACATGTTAACATTTACTTATTAGCACTAAACATTTGTGGCTGATGTCATTAGTTTAGCAGGTAACTGAAATTCTGACCTGATGTTGGCACCATATCAAAAGTCAGAGGATCACCAATGCTGTCCACCATGTACCAGATTCCATGGCAACCCATCCAATAGTCGGCCTTTCTTTCTGAATCAGTGTCACGGTGGTTGTAGTAGAACAGCCAGGGAGGCACCAGATTCATTAGGATTATCCTCTGGGGACCCTGGGTATCTGTGCCACATTTAATGGAAATATGGAAAGTAGTGGGCCAACACTGCCTTCCCTAAAAACAAGTTGGCAATTATTTTTCCATTATCTTATCACTCCCCCCGTTACCAGCCGTCACAGTCTGACACCTACAGCTCTATTTGCAGAGGGACATCATCTGTCTTTGTTCTATCCTGCAGTCCAATTAATTCCCAGTATAGGTGGCATCTGGTCTGCTTGGTTATGGTCTGATATTTTATGGTAAATTAATGTTACCAAAATAAACAGAGAAACTGACAGAGGTCGGAAGCATTTTTTTTTTTTCAGGCATAAAGTGTGTGTGTGTATGTGTGTGTGCGTGTGTGTGTGTGTGCGTGCGTGTGCGTGTCTGTGTGTGCAGACTAAACAGACCCCCTCTGTGTGAAGAGAGGATGATGGAGGGTGGGAGGAGATGGAAGTGTTGAAATCCTGGATGATGCGCACAGTGGATGGAGGCTGCCCTGCCTTGCACTGGATTCTCTGGCAGAACCCCCCCCCCCTCCCCCTCACCAGCACCAAGCCCCACCCATCCCCCACAGCCCCACCCTCCTCCTTCCCCTCCCACTGCCACCACTTTTTCCCAGCATCCCCCTCGCTTTTCTCTCAGCTGTGTGGCACCGCTGTCTCTCCAGGGAGGAGCCTGCAGCGCTGCTGCATCACACAAGACATAGAGGCGGGTGAGGGACATAGTGTGAAAGTGAGAGACAGGGAGAGAGAGGGAGGGAGCATTGTACCATGCAGATATCAGCTCTTAATATACAAAGCAGGCACTCCATTTTTTTTTGTCTTTATTCTTCTATTTTTGGCTCAGCCTGCCACAGCAAAAAACCAGGGAGGTAGGACTTCATCGAGGATAACACATTCTAGAAGCAGACGGGAGAAGCAGACAGAGAGAGAGAATTAAACCGCCTTGAGAAAAGCAAGGCGACTCTATCAGCTGTGAGGAGAGAGAGAGAGAGGAAGAAAGGGCGAGTGAGAGAGGTAGGGAGGGAAGGAGGGAGGGAGGAAATAATTAAATAAATCCCAGGGAGGAGAGAGAAAGAGGGAGGGATTGTCAGAGAGAGGGAGAGGAGGGGATGTAGCAGTGTGTATCCTCGCCGGCTCACCGCACATACACATATACACATACACACACACACACATGTACACATACACACACGCACACTTAGCCTGGATAATGTGCTGAAAGAGGTGGAGAGAAAGGAAGAAGGCAAACCGGTGAGCTATCTATCTCTGCATACTTCCATCCATCCATCCATCCATCCATCCATCTATCCATCCAACCATCCATCCATCCCTCCATCC